TTTAGGGGAGAGTCAAGAATGCCTTTTGGGTTTTTTTTCTGATTAAAAAAGCCCTAGTCTTAATAGGCTGGGGACGGTAGATTGCTAATCTGACCATCAAACATTGAGGTCCTCGGTGGCAAGAGGCCTTCAGTCGGCTTCATCCGGGCGTCCCGTTCAAACATAGGGCCAGAAAGCATATGAGAAACAGTTCTTTTCCTGTCCGGCAAACCATTTCGATGGCGACTTTGCACCTGATTGCAACGGTCTAGCTTAACGAACTAACAATGCAAAAAATGTCTTGGCAGGATCAACCAACTTTGCGTTATAGGCATGGCGCCATGTTTACACAATGCAATACGAAACTATGCTTAAAATTGTGACAGAATAGCATGCAGACCAAAAGAACCATTGCTATTTGCAACAACAACCTTTAATTTTCCCTGTCAATTAATTACTTTAACTTAGTAAGAAATTCTTGTTTTAAAATAATGTAAATCGTGCTTCTGTAGGAATTTATGAAGCACACAAATACAAAGTCACACACTGACGCATTAAATGTCCCATAAAGCCGCAAGCACACATTCAGGGACGTTTGAAGTCGCTACTGCTGCATCATTGTCGGATGGAACGGACTTAACGCCTTGCCGTCTATCATAGCATCTTGAATTCTCGGGAAGATCGAGTGGGATAGCCTTACCCTAAACAAAACCGACAGATCCGAGGCACGGAAGTCTAACTCATTTGAATCCTTGGCAAGAGAGTTAAGCAGGAAGGGGGTGTGAAAGTGTAACACTGCTGCTGGTGCTCAGACCTCTCGTGAAGATAAGATCAGGAGATGCAAACATAGAGGAAGGAAAATGTGTAGAGACTTGTAGAGATTCCGTATTTTGAGGCCTCGGGCGAAGAGAGGTATTTCGTGAAAAGCATTTTGTTTATAAGCCGTCAAATAACGAGTTCGTTGACGAGCCCAGGGGATGGGGGCGTGAAAACTCGTTTGTCTGTGTCCTATATTCTTATCAGGCATTGCACTCGAATTGTCTATCAGATAGTCAACGGAGCTAGACTTGACAAGAAGTCTTTAGATAATCTTGTTTTGTCAGTCGGCTAGGACAAAACATAGCCAGTGCAGTGTTTGATAATACATTTCATTTCAATCACTGGCTTCGATCAACGTGCCCATACCACTCGACAAAATGGATGTCTTTTCGTTAGGCCATTTATTTTTTTTTTCGATTCACATCATCGCCCAGCCTGATTTTCAAACCTGAAGAGATATGTTTTTTTCTTTTCTCACCAAATTAGTTGGCACAGACACGTTGATTTCACACAAACAGCCTTGGTGTGTGGCTCTTGACTTATTTATTATGCTAATAGTCGGGAACTATGACGGGTTAATATGATATGACAGTACCATATATTAGACGTTACAGCCTTCAAGTCACTATGGATTTGGGGTCAAATTCATAAATTATAACATAGAAATTCCCTTCTCGACTGATATTGTTCTATTCTGAGTAATGTGAATCTAAAAACTGATTTTAAATGGCCAAATTTATTTGTGCGTCATTTCCCTACATGCGCAATGCGTTTCCAGTGAAATCCACGCTTGTGAAACACGGGAGCAACCATTATAACGAGGGGGATTTCTTTTTAAGTTTTCAAGTGTAAATATAGATACGGAAATGTTTATTCACCAAAGGCTAAAGTAGGTGAAATATATTGTTACTTTAAGTTGGATTATAACGCATATAATCCTTTTTTCCAAATCGTTCATGAGAAACTACGAAGTAGGACCTCTTGGCTCAGGAAGAAATACGAACGCTCGCAGCTCGTATTGAACCGGCAGGTTCCAAGAGCGACGTTTCATGGGGAGGGACCAACGTGTGACATCCTTTTGTCCAAAAAAAAATGCTTATGACGTCCAAAGCAAAAGCGCAGATGGTAAAGAAAAAGAAGGTAGGAATTATACTGGGAAATGAAGAAAATGGAAAAGCCTCAAGGAGCCTGCTCTTTCAGCACATTTTGTGTGCACACGTTTAATTTAAAATGGTCTGGAGAAGCATAGAGGAAGGACATAGAAGGAATTGCAACTCATAGTTTTTGATTGCAATTAAATACAAATTGCAGATGTGACCAGGAAAAAGAGAGAGAGAAACATTCCTGCAATTAGACCTACTTTTGCCATCGTAAATAAAGTTTTAAAATTAGGATACACTGTTCCATTATCCATGCAAAGTTTGTAATTTTATTCTCCTCCCTCAAATACGTCAGTGTTCAAAGACTTGGTACGAATTTGGCTAAGAATGGCCAACAAAATGTTCACTACTACTGGAAAGCTTATTTCATTGGGAACAAAATGCGCCATTTCATCGCAGAGAGTGATCGTGAAATCTCATAAAATACGCTTTTGTACAAATGTCATGATAAAAATGATTCAAACAAAACACAAGATCTTGTAAACGACCGGGCTATTAATTCCCAAAATAACTCCAGAAGAAAGAGTTCATGTAGGGCATTTACTGCACATAAAGATTTAGGGCACACAAAGTGAAGCAAGCAACTGCGCAAGCATTAAATTTGATTTTGTCATGAGATCGTACCAAGCACCAACAAATTAATGAATATTCAATATCGTATACCTCGGTGCACAAAGCTTTAAGGATGTAGGTTACCCGCGACAAATTGCGGCGGCGATCATACGGTACCAAGGGCATACGTGATTATGAGACAGATGTTGCGTAGCAAGCGTTCGCTGCTCGCTGGTTATGGACATACCAGAAAGCGGTAATTGACCAGATGTTACAGCCCGGGCAGTTCAAACTCCTTCTGTGCCCTTCCTCTACTGGGAGAAGCAAGTGACAGGACCATGACGTTTGCTCTATTACGGCTTTCATGAGCGGTTACGTTTCCTTGGATCCAGCTGAATGAGCATCAGAATGTCACAAAACTAAACAATTTTTGTCAAAACTGTAATTGGATGGTGGATCACACGTATCAGGAACGAGCGTCTCCGCCCGTGTGGGAAAAAATGCTTTTATTGGACCGGGAGGTGTGATTTGGCGGGTATGCGCTGTGATCAACAACACAGCCTAGCTAGTTAGTGACATGGGAGTCAAACCCACAGCAGAGCAGAAATGTATCAAAACAAACACCAATCTCATTTTGATTTAACGATTTAAAAAGGGAACGTTCGGTGTATGTATAATGTGATATAGTTCCTGCTAATAATTAACTATCAGGCTGGCATATTTCGTAATTATCGGGGATAGTTTTTCTTCTGTTCTTTTCATTTGCATATCAGAAGCTTAATTTGGAAAGGATGCCATATTTCGTTTGCGTCTCTATTCTACAAAGCCAAATAGTGTTAATTAACCACATCTGTAAACTCATGCTAATTGTCATTACAGTAATGAAATGGTTCAAATGTAACATCAACACAAGCGGTTTGAGAAAAATGTCTTTGAACCTTAGAGGTTTCCCTTCAAGGACGAAGTTTTTGCCTGTGCTCTCAGAGGCTTTATTCCGGCAGGGGCACCTCTTCTGATGAATGCACACAAAAAAACGATGTGAGGGTATTGATTGCATCGAACTTTTCCGAACTGTGCGTTTGTTCACCTTTTTAAGCAGGCTGTTGCAAGACCCGCCCAGCGAAAGAAATCCGGAAATCCCATCGATGTAGCCTTCAGGCCGGGCGGTCGTGATTGAGTGCAGTCCCAGATACGGAGCCTACACAGACGTGCACGACATCCTTTCTGCTCCCGCCCGTGATCTCACCACTAGCACAACGCTAGTTGTGCGCGTTGAAGAAATAACCAATCGCTTGCCTGGCTGAATTGATTTTATTTATTATTTATTTGTATGCTTTTTAGCCTTTGCTGATAGTCATTTCTGATAATGAAGGTATTGTGCTCAAATTATCTTGGATACATTTAGGCCTATCTGTAAACCATAGCCATTGATGGAACAATCTACCTGGAAAGTGCACATTCTGTCGACCTTTGTACAATACGATTTTTTGGTACAGCTAACAATGAACAAGTAACACCCTCCAGGTCTTTAGTATATGTCGACCACTTGACAAAAAGAACAAATTTAGAGCTTGACAAAGACATACAAAAGTCATTCCCGCTTGGGTGGATGGAGGGGGAGATGTTCGATTACCCTTTCTACACCAAGCACGTTTTGTAGTAGTTTTGACCCATACAGTCAGCTAATTGTTCAGAATCCAAATGTTTGAATTCAATAAAGTAACTGCATTGAGCAACCGTGTCAGAGTCTATAGGTCTTGTTTGGTCATTCATATAATACCATTTAATACCCTTTAAGGTTACAAAAAAACAGGAAATGAAACCTTTAATTTGATTTAATTTTTTTTATTTTTAAAGCTTTATCAACATATTTGGGTAAACAGAAAACATCGAATGTGCAACAAACGTGATAGTCATGATATTGTATTAGTGTTCAAATGCTTGAAAATGAATCTGGCACTTTGAGCGGGTTGTTTTTCATTAAAAACAGAACTCGAGTTACAGATCCCGTGGCCAACCAGGGTTTTTTTGTTTAAAATGCATTTGCAAAATAAGTTAATGTGGATGGATGCAAATCACTGCTCTGGTTCCATTGCGAATCGTTTGAATCACGCTTTTTACAGAGGCCCGTTTTCGTGCAGTGAAACTTGTGCAGCAATTTAACATCTACAATATAAATCTTTTCCTTCAAATGTCACGAAGTAACTATTTTAGCCACAATATGCAGTTAAGCCTTTAGACCTTTTTCACCCACGTGACCGGATTGCGCTAAAAATTGGTATGTGGACCATACATAGCTGGCCTCATGTCTTTATTAACAGGACAGCCTCAGACCATGTGATATCGTTTTTTTCCTCCCACGCACACTTTCCTAGATTAAAAACTTTATACACTGCTTTAAGTTGTAATGTTTACTTCCCGGTCCAATATTTTATTCTTGATATGCTCGCGAACTAACTCCATATAACTCTTTGTTTTTCTCTCCCACAGGTCACTGTGCAGGCCACATGTTTCACACTGACAGCCATGACAGTGGACCGTTACTATCTGATTGTGCATGCCGTGAGGTCCCGCAACACGAGAACAGTGACGAAAGCTGTGATTATCAACGTTTTTATTTGGATAGGTGAGTGGTGGAAGTGATTACATGGGTAATTCACTGTGCAGTGGTCCACCAAGCGTTCTCCTAAGAAGCAGCGAGGTGTCTAATCCACAGTTGATACTTGCCCATTTCGTTCTGCATTTCTCTTATTTATGGTTACACACAAGTACCACACAAGGAGATTGGTAGATTCAGGGTGAGGGAGCCCCACCCCTGAAAGGCAGGACTGTTTATGGGGATGATTTCATTTCCCTTCCTCCACAACACCCTTAACTTTAGTCTCACACTTTGGAAAGTCCATCAATAAACCTTCATTTATTCATGTCACCCATCAAATTGCAACCGCCAAAATAGCCCCTCCCCCGAAGAATTTTCAGTTTCAGTTGCCGAGTCCAATCGGATTTGAACCGAGCCGGTCACTTCACTGTTTTTAAGCACTGTTTTCACTGTTAAAAAACAAGCACAAAACAAAACTCCATGGTGAGCTCTAGGTACGACGCAATGCAATCGTGCATCCGCTGCCCCTATGTGCCCCCCAAATTCTAATATTAGAACTTAGATTTTCCCCCGTCAAAAGGATACCCATGTTTCGATTTAAAAGATATAATATCGGCCCTTTAAGTTAAATAGGAGAGGTTACGTTTTAAGGGTGACAACAGGTGTTATGGAAATATATCAAGAATACCTGGGGGATTTTTTAAACACAGAAAGCTGTGTCGTTTTCGACGCAATGGTATATGAACTTAAACGTGTCATGACAATCATGAGTATTGTTGCATATTGACAGACAAAATAAATCAGACACAAAAAACAGATTTCAAAAGTGCAAGTCTAGAAATTCTGACTATTCACGACCACAGAGCATCAAAATGCCAAACAACACGATACACAGATTACATTCATTTTCACATCAAAATCAGCTTAATGCAATCATAATAACAAAAAAAAATACATCTTGATAATAGTTCGCGGTACCTGCTGCTTCACCTGACTCGGACCGGCCAGCCGACCCCGGCAAGCTCGGTGGTCGAGTGGTTAAGACATCTGCACTAGTAAGCAGGAGGTCTTGGGTTCGAGTCCTACCCGAGTAAGCTTGTGAGGTTTTTTTTTCGCAAGCTCTCGGACAAGCACTGAGCACACAGTGCTTATAAATATACGTTGGGTAAGGGCAAACCTTACTATGATTATATATAATCATAAATAACATTGCATCTTGCCTGACCAGAAGTGGTACACGAAGGTCCTGGGATATCTGACCAACAGCATCGGGTCCAAAGGAGTGGAAGAAGTCGGCCTGCCGACATGAAACGAAAGTTCAGACTATAAAAGTCTCATACGAGACGAGCATCGAGCCCGCCAAAAATTCGGAAAGTTGGTGAAACCAGCACCATAACCAGAAAGGTGATGAAACCAGCACAACAGCCGTAGAAACCGTTTATAGATGCGGCTGCCAGCCGAACGAATATGCCACATAAAGTCCGTAGAGTCATCGGCCCGACGACGTAAAAACACTGCTGGTAGATACAGCCATCGTCAGCATGAACCCCTGGCCCAGTAAATGGTTGCTGTGCACTTGCTTTTGGGCATGTGATTAGTAAGGGGTATTGCAGTATACCTGTGTACAAACATTGTTTATTTCTGTTGAGTGTATTTTTATGTGGGGCCTTTAACAGAAGTGGTAACTTTCTTTTGCTGTCCAGTGTAGAAAAAAAAACCAAGATCGTGCGACTAAACGTTAGGACATGTCCATTCTCAACTAAAGGGGTGAATAATTAACACTGAATTCGTGACAGTATGTCCAACACTTAAAATTTTGGGTCCATTTTCGAATTCTGGCATCCCCCCAGAACGAAGACAAATTAAAGCAACGAAAAACTGTGCTAATTTAAAGGAAACACTAACCTTGTAAATGAAAGTTCCTTTTGGCAATGGTTTCCCTAAGGTCTTTCCACCTCATTACCTTTGTGACCGACTTTCGTCGGCAGTTTGCTTTCCCCCGCTCCTCAACGTGCGTGTCCCCTGCGAGTCCGCACGTTTCCTCGAAATCGATCCCAAGCAGTGCGGTCGCTTTTATACAATGCCTAGCATTTGGTCTCTTGTTTGTTGGCGTGACATAGCCTTAGGTTGCTCAAGTACCGGAGTGAAGAGAAACAACAGACAAGCAGACGCACCACCCTCCCGACAATTGAAAATAACAAATGCTGTGTGGAGATCTCGGACTTGAAAGCACCAAAAATAAGGAGCTGTTGTATCGTACTGAACTTTAAATTCTACTATAGAGAATGATAAAAAAAAATAAAAAAATAACGAGCTATTATAGTCCTGATGGAATACAATAGCTTAACAAATAAGTGGAGTAACAAGAACCACATTTATGTGACCCCCCAAAGAGATCCCATCTAGACTGGTTCCCAGTTCCCGCATGATCCTTTACACGGAATGTAAGGGACTTGTAGCGCGGAATAATTTCAGACGGAATTCTGACGAGTTTATGTGGAATAGAAAATTAGCATAAAGATGCCCTCCAAAGAATGCATGAAGTCAAGCGTTTAGCCATTTCCCATTTACATATTAAATCAAGTTTATCCTACATTCCTCATACAAATGAGCGAGAGAATTACTTGTGATATTTATTAATTTAGCCGCTATAAGACTTGATTGGAAACGTTTGATGCGAAAAGACATTACGTCAATGTGGGACTAAACACGGAGCTGTCATGTCGTGAACTTTAAATAGTCACCCATGACGTGTGATGCTGGTTTTGTCTCTGGTACGGCATGTGCAGATATAACATTCAAATTTAACAGACCACATACATTTTCACAATCAAAAGCAGAATTCCCAATGCTATATTCACCATCACTTGCCTGTCAGAATCTCTTCTGTTTACCAATCGTACACAGGAGGATCTAAGTACAAGTCAAAATACACAAGCTATCAATCTGTTCCCCTGGTGCGTTACTTCTATTACACGTCTTATGGGGATAACACCACGTATACTGTTCTGAGGGAAAACTTGTTGTCAGTCTTATTAAAAGGGACTAGTATAATAGCCTCGTGGAAGCTTTCTTTGTTGAAGCGTCCAACTTTCCTTCTCGTTGAAAAAAAAATCAAGAGCCACGTTGTAACCTTTTATTCAAGTCAGATTTCCCCAGCGTGCGTGTAAAAAAATAAAAGAAAGAAAGAAATCGCTCCCCGGCTAGCGCATGCGCTTCATGAAGCTATCGGGGAACTGTCGAGCAGAAGTATTCAGATGGCAGCACGCGGACACATTATCTGCCTAGAGCTGAAGCACCTCCTCCTCGGTCGATAAGAGCAATGTTGGTAGGGAGTTTCAATTTGTTGGTAGCGTGGCGACATCAACGCGTACACTTTATAGTCGTTTGTGAACCAGCAAAGCGTAGTTCCCACCAAAGGAGCCTCTGTTACAAGGAAAATTGTGCTCTCTATTGGTCCAGCTTGGGGTTCATTCGGCGTTTTAAATGACCTATAAGTTATAATGCGACTTAAGAGTGGGGTTTAGTGAGAGAAATGTTTTCTTCAGGTGGATATAGTGCATGCTAGCCCACAGGTATCAAAAGTTGTTGCAACTAATTCCCTCGACTTTGCTTTGGAAACTGGCTTGTCATCTTCTACTACCTCAGGGAGCTAACATAACCATATAGCCATGTTATGTTTGTATTCTCTGTAAACACACGTACCAGCTGTTTTACATACAAAGTGTGGACATTCCTTTGTTCTCCTATGGTTAAGGAATCTAGAGGAAAATGCTCCCTTTTCTCCAACTAGGATAACTCCTTTGAGCTGGATTTTTTATGAGGATTTCCTGGACTGTTCCTCTTCATTTTGCCACCTTAACAACCTTGACCCCAAAATGCCTCTGAAACTGTTTTTCAGAAAGGGAAAATCATTGTGCGGACGTGTGCGAGTCCACCCAACGCCATTGCACCTATATTATGTGGACTTCTTTTGTGCAGAGGTCCACACGTGTGGACCTCTGCACAAAATGTATGCCACGCCTGCAAATGCGTGTATGAGTGCGCACACAACGACCCATCAGAAGTACAGGCGACCGGCCCCTGTAATTAATTATTTGGACGGTGACTAGTATTGGTCCCATTGTCCTTTGTTTAATTTTTGGCAACTTTAAGAATATTGCTGATCCATCATATTTGCCAATCAATGTACGTCTTTTAACCAAACCTCGCAGAGATTACATACAACGCCTTCATCGAAAGAGTGGACACAGCTAAGCACGAAACAGATGTGAATCTATTTTTATAATAGTACTAACTTCAGGTACACAGAGTCACACCCAGCCCACTTTAATGTTGCTGCTCTTTTATTTTTATTTTAATAGTCTCGGCGCTGATACACTTGCCCTCAGTTGTGTTCATACAACTCAATGAGAAGGAAGAGTGCTCCAGACTCTTCCCCCAGGGACAGACAAGTGCCAATATATATGCTGTCTTCGTGTTTGTGGTGATGTACGCCTTACCGCTCCTCGTCATCCTGTTTTGCTACACAAAAATCCTTCTTCAAACATGGCAACAGCCGGGTACCACACAGTTAACCAAGGGGGCTCAATGCCGCACCCTCACCAGGAAACGCAAAGTCACTAAAATGGTGTTCATCGTGGTGATGCTTTTCGCCCTGTGCTGGGCTCCCATTCACACCCTCACCGCGTGGCTACTCACTAACACTACGGTTGAACCAACAGTACTCGTTGAAAACCTGAAGGGGTCCTTTTTGTGCATTGCGTACCTTAACAGTTGCGTCAACCCATTCGTTTATGCTTTCACTACCACGACTTTCCGCAAGCGCTTTAGACATGTTCTTCGACCTCGGTGCAGCAAACTGCATGGGAAAAGTAATAGTTCTGCTATTAAAACAAACGTCGGCCGGTTAACATCTGGAAAAGAGGAATCTGTAATGTAGTTAGCTGCATGCATGTGGAGACAGTGAGCCGCTGAAAGGAAACATTCTCTTTTGTAACTGTTTTCTCGTGTCTCTTTCTGTTTCTTTGGCAGTCTCATCCTTGATCCACCTTGCATCATTTATCTATGTTCACCTAACCGAGGATGGCACGTGCAAGAGTGATTTCCCGAATGCCCAGGTCAGTGACAAAGTCTACGGTCTGTTCTCCTTCCTCGGAATGTACATCGTGCCACTGATTTGTATAATGTTCTGCTACACACAAATCCTGATTCAGATCTGGCGGAAGACCTCGGGTGGGACTGAAAGTGCGCAGGCCCACACGCGAGCACTCCGAAGAAAGAGGAAAATTACCCGCATGGTGTTCATCGTCGTGGTATTGTTTGCCTTCTGCTGGGCACCAATTCAAATATTCACCGTCTGGTCAAGATTCAGCCTATCCGACTCCGATGAAAGCAAAGACCTTACGGTTGTCCAGAATTTGAAAGTGTCATTCGTGTGCATAGCGTACGCCAATAGCTGTGTTAACCCCTTCGTCTATGCCTTCACAACGACGAGTTTCAGGAAGTACTTCCGAAAAATGTTTGCGACCTGTTGCAGGAGCCCGTATAAAGAGCGCACGAGTATTAGCATCAGTATGACCACTAAAACGGAGCGACTTCCACCGGGAGAGGAGGACTCGTCAATTTAAGAACCTATCTGTCGGCAGCTGGTGCCAGCTTATATACTGCATCTTGACATAGGACCACCAAGACTAATCAGTGTTAGGCAAACAGGATCTGCTCACATTATTTATAAATAAAAAAAAAGTATTTGCAAACTGGCAAATTAACACCAGAGAGGGTACTGCAACCCAGTGAAAGTGTTCATCTGAGGTAGAACTCTACGAGTCATCAGGCAGTCGTGTTCAGGCTGCACACGGTCAACCTGTATTTTCGAAATCTTTCAGAGTTCAACCTGCCTCTGTTTAAATGAATGGCGTTTTAAATGTGCGCTTTATGCGCTCTATCACTAATGCCTACTTTCCCTACATGAAGCGCGGATCTAGTTGAGTGTGCTAAATTTGGTCAAACACACGTCTAATATTGTGTATAATTTTAAATATGTATGAGCGTAGTACTGGTGTCATTGATCAAAGAGTAAGAGTACTTTCTAGAGAAGAGTTTTTTCGACATCAGAAGTCAAGTCTCAGAGCATTTTTATTGTTAAAGAAGTGTTCAGAGACAAGTCAGCCGAACTTCGAAGCTGTCAGTGTCTATACTCTTGAGTCTTTTCTCTTATTCAGTTCACAAGCATGCACGTACGTTCTTTTGATTGCATCAGTCGAATGCATGACGTACGTGAGTGGAGTAAATTATTGTGTAAAACTACCGGGCATCATGGGTTATCTTCTGTGATAATGACAATGTGTATTATACCTACACGTACCGGTATACAGTGTCTTTTTAAGGTAAAGTGGTAAAGTACATTTCGTCCAAAATTAATTAATTATGACAGTAAATTGGGTAATGTTTTGGTTACGATTGGTGGATTCAGCTTTTTGTTTGTTTAAGTTTCTTTTGTTTTGTTTCGTTTGCTCCGTTTCCTTTCGTTGTATTTTGCTCCTTGTTTGTGTTTCTGATTTTGTCTGAAAGTTTTTTTCTGTTCTTTCTGTTTCTAACTCTAAGAAAATGAAGGGAGGAAAAGTGAGATTTTGTATAATTAAATAGCACAAGGGCATAGCATATGAAACAAATTGGGAAGTGAAAGTATTTCAGTGTGTAATGCTGTAGAAATTGGACACAATCAATTGGCGTAATATACTGTATGTGTACTTTTCAGGTTACTCATTTAAAAACAAATTACCAAGAAGTGTTCTTGACTGTTATTCTCATATTTTGTGAATATGAACTTAAGGTTGGTGTAATCTATACGGACTTAAATATAAGCACAGTGTAAATAACACCGTTGATTTTGTGGTTCAAGTCTCTGGTTATTGTCTTCATCGCTTGTTGGAAAAAGGTTCACTCTCATGCTTGTAAATATTAATTCCCGAAGGGTTTTCTCTAACTTTGTAAAAAAAAAGAAGAGCGGGACTGACAGACAAACAAAAAAGAGGCCACCAACAATGCAGATTTTGTGAATGATGTAATGTGTTCTACTTTTACGATTGGTGTCCATTGCTGAGCGACAGTGTGAATGAATAGAGAGTGGCAGCTACAAACCCAACTTCTCAGTGTCGTTTAACGTAGCTTCTAGGTCAATTGAAGATATTGGACGAAGGGCACCCCAACACAAACACCTTTATGTTGGTCACTGTTTGATCGGAATCTCAGGAATTCTTTACAGACATCTGGCGGATTTGTTAGGTAATAATAATCTAGGGTGTGTATAGATATTGGACATGTAGGGTGGTACCCCTCCGTCCCATACCTTGATGGGTATATTGTTGGTGGGTTATTATGTTATAATAGCTAAAAGTAATGTCGTCGATTTTATACAAATGATAATTGATTTAAACAAAGGACCAATACCTGCCTAAGGGTTCAAAAATGATGTTTCTTGTCAGAATAAAGTGTAATTAGAGTAATGATGACTTTAAACAAAATCAGACGGGCCGAAGAGAACATTAACACAAAATACAAATCACTGATAGAAAGCAGAGTTCAGATGCTGTGCAGTATATTTGAAATATAAAGGTGTCTGCACGTTTAGCTATCACGAGTAGGAAGTTGTGTTAACAATTAACATCAATTTAATTTGTAATCATATCGTTAATCGGTGTTAATACTTACCTTTGCTGTCTATAGCACGGTTTGTGTAGTGGTATTTGCTGGCACAGTGCTCATTTTACTTCTTCGTTGAAAGTCATTATTACCATTACAGAAAACGTTTGAAATTCAGAGAAATGACGGTATGTCACTAGCCCGATTCCACTGAAGGCTTTGGTACCTTTATTCGAAGGCAACGTACACTGTCGTCTCATGAATTTGCCATTCTTGCCTTTAGAAAATATAAAACACGGCATTGCTAATGTTTCATCGAATCAATAAAAATGGATTGTTAGCCCCAGCGTCTTCCTCATAATGGTCATAAGTTCAACTTCTTGGCCAGCCACTAAGGTATAGCTTGTCGAAACAATCATCTTCTACGAAAGCTGTGAGTGCCGTCAAGTATATATTTTCAAATAATATTTTTTTTTGAAGATTGTTATTATGAAGTGTATTTTTGAAACTTCGTTTTAACAAGATATATTTTACCAAGCTCGTTTGTTAACTATAGGCATATTTTTTGAGATATATAAGTAGAAGTGTTTTTACTACTTCTGGAAACAAATCGTTTAACAAGATATACTTTTCCAGGCTCGTGTGTAGGAGATTTTTACATTAATTTTTATTATTTTTTTAGTTTGTTTTGTGAGAAATTTGAAAAACAAATAAAATCTGACAATATAACTGCATAATTATTTTTCTGAATAATAACTACATTCTAACTAATAACTAATACAAAAACACATTTCAAAAAATAACTCAATCAAAAATAAATCTCGAGAAAATGATTTGTTACCAAAAATAGAAACAAGATTTCTAAATATATATCTCATAACGAACTGGAAAATATATGTCTTGGAACAAACACATTTTGGGAAAGTAAATCTTGTAAAAAACTAAGTTGGACCAAACATATATCCTAAAACGTATTAAAATGTGCTTCACTTTTTGAAATAATGCACTTGATGGCACTACAAGGCTTGCGTAATTTCCCATGTACATCCTATTTATTTCTCTGCTATCCCATGTACTCTGGACCATGCTGGGCATATATAAGTTCATGAACGAACACAGCAAGCGCATGGTCACGTCCAATATAGGGTAAATCTATGCGCTTACAGTTTTGTTATTAAAGGAAACGTATAGCGCCAGTGTGTTTAAAAACAAAACAAAACAAAACAAGAAAACCGAAACAACTAAGAAGTCGAGGAAATGATCCACTTGTTTAAAGTGTAGCTGCAACATTTTGTTTCTTAAATTCTTTTTCTGTATAATTTTATCTCTTCAATGTGTGAAAAATATTTTAAATTTGGTTTTGATGAGATGCATTAAAAAGTTCTGTTTTCAAGCATACAAGATTTCCTCCGAGACAACTGAGGGCGCGGTTGCCGTGATGTCATCTAAGGATGAAATTGGTCAGGAAATAAGTTTTCCTGTTAAAGTTTCTTAACGAGGCTTGCTTGCTTGCTGCTTGCTGGCTTAATTTTATTAATTCATAATACAATGAATACCAAAGAAATAGAAATTTAGAGAAGCTTATTTTTCCCCAAATGCAACAGTTTTGTGCATAAACCAGCGCTGCAGATTTCTTCCTGAGAGGACATCATAATGTTGCTTCCGATTATTGAAATAATTACTAGCATAACAAAACAAAAGACAGCCAAAAAAACCCTTTTTAATAGTGAAGCACACATTTTGAAAAAGTTAACTGAGAGAGAAGGGTGGAGTTCGAAGGTTTGACTTGCGCTTATAGGTTAGCACTATTTTTAACAACCTACTGTCTTATTCAAATGATTCACTATCTCAAGCGCACGACTTATTTTCTTTAAATAAATCAGCCGCCTTGTTTAAATGACCTACTCTCTCGTGTAATGGAACTAATGTCTCGTTAAAATTATTAATTATCCTCTTTAAACTGTATAGTAAATCTACATTACGTGTAAACGACCTAGCTATATCTGGTTGAAAAGACCAAAAATGCTAGTTTTTGATAATTTTTGGTACTTCAGTGCAACCTAACTTGACGTGGCTGGGTTTATTTCTCTGTCACGTTGTTGGAACATAAATATTGGTATGTCAGTGTCGACACCAGAAAATCCTTATGGGGACACTGGGTTTAACTGTGTTCACAACCTTGCACATAGAGAGAACACAGAGTGGCCATGGCTAGTGTTTGTACGTGGCACTGTTTACGTAGCCTTTGAAAGCGTTCATATAAAATATTATCATTGTGTCATTACTGTGAAATTTTTCTCAGGGGTCGTCCTTGAAATTGCTTGAAAACGAGATATTAACAGTTTAGTTTAAACGACACAAAGGTATTGATAATTGGCAGCAATACGCTTCCGTAGTTATCATTGTTACCAGAGAAAACATATATAATCCTATACAGAAGGGGTGGGTTGTTTCTATCGAACTTCCAGTCTATGGACACCAAGTGAATGGACGCTTTTGGGCAGTTTTTAGCTGTTTAATATCGTCGGCGTTTATTGTTCAGCCTTGATGCTCTCGTACGCGACCGCTTCGTAATTAGAAGCGTAATAATGCATAGGCCTACTTACAAAGCGCACTACGGCCACCTATATCAAGGAAGGCCTGAGTCAGGAAGAATAAATATAATTGTTGACACAAGGAAGGAAAAATTAGTGTAAAAATAGGGATCTAAACCGAGTCAGTCAAGTCCACGGAGGATGTGGTATGTCCATGCAGTTTGGAGTAAGCCTGGAGACGGCATTTCATGATTGAACATCACGATTAGTTTTAGCATTATCTATGGCATTTGGATATTTCATTCTGCATTTAAAGGTGCCAAAACAATTTAATCTTTTTTGAGTTTGGTAATATCATATTACCCTCCGATAGGTTGCTCGGAATGAGGCATATCAGAGAGAGGAAAGCCTTAGAAGTAGAGTGCTATCGTTGTTGGTGAAAAATGCATTTTATCCGCTGCCTGTCTCTGGTGGTTTCCCTGCCTTGGCCTATCCAACATAATCTGTCGTTTGGATACATGGCTGGAAGCCAAAGTCTCAATTTACTGATGAATTTGCACCTTACATTCAGCGTCGCATGACACTGAATGCGTCCCTAGTCGTACTTGGCACGTAAAGTTTCCATTAAACAAAACCCGCCGACAGATGCCGTAAGGATATCCACTCTAAAAGAACCTAATGCTAAGACCTGCCACGCATGCTGGCGGCTAATTAGAAAGTAAGGTCTAACGACTGACTCGAACGTTACAAGCCGAACGTTAGTTGTTCCCTCCATATACAAGGTGACCCCCACCCCCCAAAAAAACACGACTCAAAACCAATACCGGTATTTATTGTCTGCCAAAATAAATTATTGCTTATTGTACCAAATTAAAGCATGAGGTGTTATCTTGTCTAAATTTCTAATTTATTTTGAAGACTTCGTTTCAATGTTGATGTGTTGGGGAGATCATTGCGACTACGTAATATAAGTGCTGATTTGTTCTGCCCAATGCGATTTACCACAGCAATCAGAATTTTGTAATCAAATAATAATAATTGACTAATACCCTTTGACACAGTGGCATCATTAGAAATACCTAGAAAAAGAGGATGCCTAATTGAACTGGGTTCTGTTATTTCAAAATCTCATTTTTTATTCCACTAACAAACGAATAGGATCCTGACCTGAAACGGTTCAGAGTAGTTTCTTATACAAAGTAATTGTAACTTACGTCTTACAAATTGACTTGTGGTAAATTCCAAAGGTGTGGCTGAAGTTGCTTCCTGGAAAACAAACTCATTAAACTCTGAAACTGCACCAGTAATTAACCCCCATTGTCTTCTGAAATAAGTATCAGGTTTGCCAAGTTCAGGGCTAGAATAAGATTTGAAAGAGGTTTGTCAAAACAGTTGTATGGTAATTCAGGATTTGAATTTATTGATTGAGTCTACTGTGAAATTAATTGTATAAACTTCAATTTCACAGGAAAAATGAAGTGTGATACGCAAATAAAAACATCTCCGCAGCACATCATCGGATTTAAATGAAGTGTTCGTTTTGAACCGATATCTTCCTAACTTAATACAAAAAAAAAAACATTTTGGGGGTGTAACCATGTATCTAATATATGTTATATTCCATCGTGTAGGGCAGACCGTTACTGTTACGGTCAAACGTTAAGCTATACTGATTGGTGGAAATGATTTTGCTAGAAAAAATACCAGTCCACTATTCTGCGTCCACCATTTTGAACCGTGGCTATAGGACATAATGCAAATTAAATTGCCTCACCTCTGAAGTTGGTTATCGCAACACATACCCACCCACTGAAGAACTAATGCAGGTCATGTCTTGGTTGCGTCAGCGAACTCGTGCTCTCAAGATAGATGATCGTCAGTGTTTGGTCTCCAATATTTATCATGAAACAGAGAGTATAGCAATGTATACGCAAGGTTTGGACTGCGTCTCTGCTTGAATGACAACTTATTTTACACAACTACCACGCAGTAAGATCGGTATCAATGCAGTCGAGGTACGTACTGAGAAAGATGCATACCCATCAGACCACAATCCCAACGCGCGGGAAGTCGAGTCCTCGTTAGAACGGCCACTATATTACTGCAGTGAATGAGAAATAGGTATAATAGTGAAGACAGGTTACAGTGAGGTTTCAGTTCATTTTGGTTTGTCAAGGAGTGCTCATTTAAGCGTATGACCACTAGCGAAACTACCACGGTACCGGTACGTTATGTTTTTTTTATTTATGTGTTGGAAAACTGAGGCCCCCAAGGGAATCACAGGTAACCTGAGTGGCACAAAATGATACAGGAGGCGTCGACAATACGATCTCCACACAATTTTCTGAAATATGTATATAAATATATAATTTTCTGGCATATTCCAGTATAATCACGTTTTCATGGGTGTTCCTATCAACACAATGTCATGAGCAGTAGCCGCAACGGTAGTGCCCTCGTGTCGGCCTGTATGTCACAATCATTGCATCATCGAATTGACTGAGGGGAGTAGAGAGTAAACTTTCTTTTTTTTTTATTGTTGTCTAATGCTGAGGTTATATATTAAGATTGTACACTAACACCGCCGCTATCTCTAGCTACGGAGCTTCGCATGATGTGTTGCCGTGTAATGGGAAATCAACACTTAATCTAGCACCTGTTGTGGAATTGCTGTGAAATTGAGTCACTCTGACGGGACAGACGGAACATAACGACGAGCCAAAATGACTAGTACCGTGGACTGATACAGACTCGCAAAATATCAGTGAATCTGTGGATTTGTCTCAAATTTCACGTTGTAAGCGGTGATGAGTACCAATAAGTGTTTTATGTGATACTGTGTGATTGAAAGACTAAACATGTTTCATTTTGTTAGTTGTCGAACCAACTTTTCTTTGTTCCCTATCACTCAAAACCTTCACAACACATTAATTTCTACTGCAGTGCTTTTCGAAATCTTCCTTTTGAATGAGCATTTTTTTCCCCGGTGGATACTGAAGATACAACATAAGCAATTCGGCGGTAAATCGAAAAACTTGCCATTCATTGCCGCACTTTTCCTGTAACTCCCCATTTCAGGCTATTTTAGACATATTGCGGGGTGACCATGAATGTTGTGAAAAGCCCCAAACCAGGTATATATAGCTGACACTCTTAGATCGATTTTAACTTCTTTTGTTAGGGGTTGCTCAAGGAAATACAATTCACCATCTCACCTTGACAACAATCTCCGCGTAGCCTGAAATAACTGATGAGAAAATATATTCCACTCCCCAGGAAACTCGCTTGGTTAGAAAATAACTCGCCAACAAATTTCCTGTATCATAACGGAACCTGTCTTGTCTGTCAGTTTAGGTTTTGACAAGAAGCGGACATGCGCGGTAACTCGACACACCACCCACCTGCCACAGGTGCAGAAAACTGACAGCGGTCGGTGCAGGTAAAACCTCTAGCCGTGAAGGCCTCTGAAATTGCTTAGGCCTGGGGGTCCAGAATAAAATAAGAGAATAGAATAAAAAGCGGTCGCTCTAATCATATGTGCAATGTAAAGGGTGCCCATGGATTGGGGGACGGGGGCTTTCGAGACGCCTCATGGTGGCAAGCCTACCTACATGACGAGCCCACATTTGTGTCAGTGATTTTGACTTTGTGTATATCATCCAAAACGTGAGGCAAAACAACTGAGGACCGGTCAGAAGAGACCAGTATATTTGTCATCATCAAAGGTCTGACATTCCCCTGTGAAGTGGTGAACGAACCTGAAAAGGACAGTCAGATTCCAAAATTATTTGCATTATTTGTACGATTTCCAATCTGCTTACAAATTGAGAATCTGTCGATTTGAAAACAGGTCGAAAGCAGAAGTACCTATATCTGTAGAATGTGCATAAAAATTACTTTCTTGCATATTTGGCTGTATCATTGAAATGCCATCAGCTACACTATATTGTCTTATAGCCTTGTATTAGCATCACTAGCTGTAGCTATGATGGTTACTGACTTCATTAATTGCCTTTTAGTTTGTTTGTATTTTTTTTGGTACTGTCGTTCAGTTTTAGTTGTTCCGGTATTAAATATATACTTTCATCATATGTAACCCATTCTCCTTAATTAATCCCAGTGTATAAGTATAAGAAAGCTGGTGTATATGGTGAGTAGTCTCTGCTAAAAAAATGGTTTGGTTGAAGTAAATGTAGTCTGCCTTTCCTTATATACACGAAACACGCTTTAATGGAAGATGGGACTGTTTTAAAACCATAGTTGAAGGCGACGTGCCCTGTCGTGTCAGTACCTCTGCTCCCCAAAGCAGCGCTGCTATGACGGCATCCGCGCTGGAATTATCAACGACCTTACTGTGTCGAATCGA